GGCAGAGAGGCTTGGGGAGCGGGGCTGATGTTATCTTAGCAGCTCTCAGGAGGGGAGGGGAGGGCCAGGGCTCCCAGGTCCTCCCAGCTCCAGTGGGTTTGGGAGCTGATGCTCAGGGCTTCTCAGCCCAGGGCAGGACTCTGTAGGCTGGGGGGGGGGGACACACACAGCTCCCCCCCAGTCCCCAGCACCTCACTCAACCTCTTGCAGCAGCAACCACATTTGCTTTCCTCAATAAAATGTTGATTTCAAACCTTCTCCCCACTGACCTTCCCTTTGCCCACCCTGCTTCCAACTTAAAAAGGGACCACGGCTCCTGACTCCTGGGCAGGCAGGAGCTCCAGGGACCCTCATCCCCCACCAGCCCCTGCTCACCCTGATCCTGACCCAGGGACGTGACAAATCAAAATGAAGCCCAAGACCCACCTACACTGGAAGCCAGGTGATCCTAGACTCGTTTTAGCTTCCTTTAACCTCCTGGTGAGCAGCTGAGGCTGGGGAAGGCTTGATTGGGCCAAATCCTTAATTAACCCCATGCTGCCCAGGTGGTTGCTGCTCACCTCCATGGGGCTGGTTTGTCCCAGCTTTTGCCTCTCCTGTCCTTCCTCTGCCCCACTGCAACCCACTCTGTGGCTGTCCTGCTGAGCTTTGGTCCCAGCCAGACCCCCAGCTGAGTGGATGGAGCTGGGGGTGCAGGAGGGGTGAGGGGTGCACCAGCCCCAACTCAGGACCAGGCCCTGCCCTGGAGGTGATCTGGGGTGATCTGCATCCCGGTGCTGCCACCCGGGAGCATCCCCAGCAGCGTTGGAGCTGCCTTCCCGCCGGGGTGGGGCTCCCCGTCCCATCCCGTTCCATCCCACACTGCACCCTCCCCCCTGCGCTGCAGGACCCCCCAGACAGGGGCACCCCAGATACTTCCCGGTGGCACAGGGACTCCCAGCTGCCCCTAGAGGCCTCACCTGTCGACCCACAGGGGCCGGGGTTACATGTGCTGAGCTGCTCCTGGGTCTCAGCTGGGACACGCACACGGCCCGGACGTCCCCGCTCCCGGTTGTTTGTTTTTTCTCCCAAGTGCCGCACGCCGCGGGGGCAGCCGCCCCCCCCCCCCCGGGGGCCCCCGGGGCGCCC